TTGAAAAAAACTTACAGAAATCCCTGAGCAGAACACAGAAGATCCAAATTGAAYAAATTCCTCTTCTGTGTCGCTCCTATGTTAGTTTCTTAAATAATTCATGTACAATTATAGAAAACTAAAAATTACCAGAATCAGAATTAGTGCATCTCATTTATTATTTTAAACATAATTGTGGTTGGGCTGGAGATGTGGCTCAAGTGGTAGCGTGCTCGCCTGGCATGCATGGGGCGCTGGGTTCCATCCTCAGCACCACGTAAAAAATAAAATAAAGATGTTGTGTCCACTGAAAACTAAATATATATATATATATATATATATATATATATATATATATATTAAAAAATTCTCTCTCTCTTTAAAAAGCATAATTATAGTTATGTTAAATATATAATAAAATATGTGTACTGTTATTCTGTATTATAGTTTAAGAAATCAAACTTTTAAAGAACTTGACTTATTATATTCATTATATTTTATGTAATTTTCCCTATTGTTATATTCAGGTTTATCATTTGAAAGTCTTTGCCACAATAAACATTATACTATTATCTCTTAAAAAAATAGAAGTGGTCCTTCTCTTGTAAAAAAAAAAAAAAACAGCTAAGGTGGCTTGAATAATGAGATGTAGATTCTCACTAGAGACAAGCACCCTCAATTAGGGCCACACAAGATTAAAAAATTAAACTCTTCCGAATATAAGCTAATGAACCAAAATTACAAATGTTTCAATGAATGAGAAATAGCAGAAACAATAAACAGTGTATTGGGTTTGGCTCATCCTGACTTTCGAGAACTGTGTCAAATATGCAGAATTTTGAAACTTGCTGTTCAAATACTTGTAACCAATGAAAGTCAAATGGGAGTATTTACACCAACATAATTGGGAATACTGTGAATAATCAGGATTATTTTACTCTATTTATTTATTTATGTTTAGAAAAATATATGTGGTTAYCAGCATGCAAAAATGGTGAGTTTGGGGACGTTAATGTATACAATTGTTTAAGAATTAAGAACACAAGTATGAAAAAGCTACTCTAAAAGAAACATGTTAAAATGTTTTAAAAAATGTTAAAAAAGATACTACCACTAAAATGTAAAAAATTATTAAAGAACATAGTGCGAAAAAATTGTAAACTGGAATACAGAACTGACTAAATTATATATACTCTAGCAGATCATAACATGAGAAATAGTCAAAAGGRTTAAGATATATAGAGGATAGAATGCGCTAGTTCAATATCKATCTAATAAGTGTTCTAGAAGTAGAGAGAGGCAACAGGATGGAAGCAGTATTTGAATAATGCTGGTATCCTCCTAGTATTCAAATGTGGGTAAGCAGACAATAAAAAAGTCATAATAGCTAATTCTGAATACTGTTTGAAATTAGTGCTGTTTACTTTGCTGTCCCCTCTTTTGCTATTTGTCTTTATTTCTGGCAAAATATTTTATATTGAATGGATGACACAAGATGGTCAAGTGATAGTACTAATTTGTTGTATGGAAGAAAAGGAAGAATAATTATATTGAATATTAAAACATAAGTTTGATGGCAGCCAGAAGCTTTCTGGGAAATGAATGAGGAAAGAGGATAAATACCAACAGGCAATTAAGAACTGGTGTAAATCCTTTTATACTACGATGATCATAATAAACACGGCTGTAGTTTGGGTGGATTTGCAGACGATCATCTCAATTGCCTGCATGGGATTATGGAAGTGTGTCTAGGATGATGACCACTGTGCAGTGATGGGACTGGTCCCTTTGGACAAGGCTCTAACAACCACTATTGCACTGAAATGTCTTGCTTTCCTTTTCTTAGGCTTCACCTCTGTTGTCCAGGTCAAAGCAGAGTATACCTGCATATATACTTCAAAGAAAGCATAGATGCTAGATCATAGAAAATACAAAGTAAAAGTATGTACCAAAAACCATATTAGAATTGATTTTTAAAATATGTGTCTTTATGTTTCAGTCATTCAAATAAAGTCACACTGCGACTGGAGAAGATATTTGAACCCCTCAATCTGTAATTTATATTGAGCTATTTTAATTGAAAATACTTGATACTGGTAGATCTAATGAACAGTTCTAATTGGCAGCCATAAAAGCAGTTCCCTATAAACAACAACAACAACAAAATTTAAGAAAACTAGTGAAAATGAATCCTCTAAGGACCATCGTCTGTAGGTGAGTGTAAGAGGGTGTTCTGGGTGAACACTTGGTGGTCAGAAAACACCATGTGGCTGCAGGCTTCAGTTCAGGGAACTGGGGACTGGTCAGAAGTATTGTCTATAAAAGATGCTATTTGGAAAGCCAAGGTTTGGGTAGAAAAGGAAAGGTGCATAAGAGGAAGACTGTGAAGTCTAAGGAGGTAGGTGGCAGCCATCGCACATAGCAATCCTTGCCTTAAAGACAGGACACATGGCTTCAGTTTTTATAGTAAAGGCACAGAACAGGTCTCTGTCTTTCCAGCAATAATATTGTTGTGTCCCAAATTTTTAAATTGTGGAATTCTTCAGGAAAAARAAGAATCAAAAAGAAAACCAAAACAAAACAGATTTTAAAAAGTTTTACTACAGAAGTCATACTTTATAGGCCAGGAAGTTATTCTCTTTGCCAAGAGAAGTAGGGGTGAATTTAGGTAAAGGAGGGAGAGGATGCGTAGAAGAGAAACTGGCTCTCAACACAACTTYTAAAAATTTATCCGCCACCCAAAATCCCATAAACAGTCTCTGGCTTTAAAAAAGATTTCAACAAACACAACTCTTCATTTAATCATCCCATCATGTAGAAAGCTACTTATTTTTGAAAGACCTTTGTAATAGTTTAGCATTCTTACCACAAATACAAAATACAGAGCTCTGTTCATTTCAGAAAAAACTTTGTGAGTCAGTAAACAAAAATGTTGTCTAAAGGAAAGAAGTTAGAAGAACACCTAAATTAGAAGATATATTACCATCACTAAGGATATAACTATCTTCCTACTCAGTACTGCACAGCAATCAACTAAATGCAGAAGTTCACTGTGACCTGTAAGGGAAGTGATTCATTAAAAATAAGAATCATATGCAACAAAAAGACCAAACGGCTTAAACATAATTCTTACAAGAACACAGCCACTGAAGCAGATAGGAACAAACTGCCCATTAACAAACTCTATGTCATGACATGTCAAAGCCATATTTCTGAACTCTGATATTCCACCCTAGGGTTTTATTAAATCTTAAAAGTTTCTCAGTGTTATCCCRTGTATTTAAAGGGGCTGTGTACCAGAAATGAAAAAAAAAAAAAGAGGATCAAACATAAATGAATGAGGGAAGGAACAAAGGTGAGGGAAGGAAAGAAGGTAAGGAAGGAGACATAGGCTCCATTTTTAGTAGTTCCATGATATTCTCTTCTTAGTTATAGAAGAATCCAACCATGAGCAATCAAAATTATCACTCTCGGGAGGACTCTCATTTTCAACAGACCACAAGTACTCTCCACTTTATTCCAGAAATTTAATATGGTCCTAGCAATTTGAATCTAATCCTACAAATTAGATATCTTCTTCCTAGTTTATAGGAGTTGGATTTTTCACTCCCCAGACTCCTGCCACTGACTCTCTGGCAGAAGAACATTAGAACTGTGGCCTATCAGAGTACACAGTCCATTTCTTTCTAAAAAWCCTCTGTGCAGATCCACTTATGAAATCAGTGACCACTGCTCTTTGTCTCAGTTTGTGATGGCTATCTCAGGACACCGCTAGATTTGAATGAATTTATCATGTAAACCTGAAGTACAATAAGTTTTATTTTTAATCCTAGAATTGTCCTTCAAAAATATATTGCATCATATGTCAGTCCTTACAAGCCATCTCAGATTATGAAATTCTAAATRAATTTTAAATGAATTATTTTGGATGGCAATATGTTGTTTGGAGAAGACAAAYTGAAACAACTTCAATTAGTGTTAGTGTAGGATGTTATTGGAAATATTATCTGATGTAAAAAGAGAGGCAAGAAAATTTAAAATGTATTTAATTATTCCTGRGGTATGAACTCATGCAGGGTTTCAAGTACTAGAAACCACTGAGAATAAGCCTTTAAATGTTACTTTAAGAGGAAAATTCAGGTGAACAAGAAGCACCAATTATGCTGAAAAAAGAAACATAATTTAGGGATAGTTATTCCACCAGGTATCAACATATATGGAATTACAGCACTTCAGATACTGTGGTAATGGTTCAGGGATAGAGAATTAAGTAAAAGAACAAATATAGGAATTTGGTGTACAACAGWAGTGGTATTACAAATTTCACTGGAATTTTTAACTTGAGTATTGTTAGAAAAATGTGACAATTTATATTTATAATTTAGTCTAAAAATAAAAATAATTAAAAATCATTAACATACAATTTGGTAGTTCTGTATGTGTGTATTTATAAACAAACCTACATTGTGGGTTGGAGGCTTCAAACATTTTTATTAATCTAGGTGGTGTACTTTTAAAAAAAGTTTGGGACCATTGTGTCAATAAATATGCTATGGTAATAGGTTATCCATATGGAAAATGAAGTTAGATTCCTATCTCTTAATACAAAAACTATTTGTAAGTAGGATAAGGAAATGAATGTGAAAAACTGAATATATTATTTATATTATTTCTGGGCAGAGAAGAGCATAAAGGGAGAACATTGATTATCTAAGTCGGATTTAATGTGTGATTRTTTAATTTTTTAAAAAAGATACCATRAACAACAACATAAAAAGACATGATATAGACTGCATATTATAAAGTATTATTAATGCATCATATGTAGGAAAATTTCATGAATCTAGAAAAAAAGACAACCCATCCATGTGCTTCATTCAGACACTCAAGTGTGAAGAGTCAACATCAATAATCAAGACAGAAAAAAATAAAGCAAGAATAAAGATGAATAAGAAAATTAGGAATTTCTGACCCAAAGTGTTAAAGCATAAATATGTTATTAAGGAAAACATCAATATTACCTCCAAGGACCATGCCAGCCTGGCAGCACTTTCTAAGGCGACATGCTGGACAGTTTTTTCTGCGGATTTTATCAACAATGCAGTCATTTCTTCCAGCACATAAATAGTTATGCTGTCCTACAAAGTGAAAAAGTAAAGATTATTTGCAATATYTAAGATCATTGAAAATTATATTCAAAAATGACTGAACAGAGGATCAACACACAAAATAGCAAGTCCATGACTCTAAGCYAATCTCTTGCTTGGCATCACTGAATGTTGGTCATGCTCAAACCTGCTCAACACTCTACCTGTGACTTCAGGGGCCTAAATGAGGTAATGAGAAGTAGTAAATAAATTCAAACACATTTCAAATATAAAAGAGGATATTATGGTTACCAAGTAGGATGCAATTCTTAGAAGCCATAAGGGATTAAAAAATTTAGCAGTTCAACATTTGAAGTGTGAGTAGGAAGGAAAATTTCTGATATTGAGAGCACTGGCACGAAGTCACTTCCTTGAAGGGTTGGCACAATTCCTATCATTGGGAACTGCCCATAACAGCTGGAATGACTGCAGGAAACCTGGAAGCTCAGTCTATTATAAGTTATGATCATCTTTAACACAAAGAGTTGGTCCACTGGAACTATAAACTAGACCCCATGCAAGCAAAATGTAAGGGGTATAGTTAGTGTTTAATCTTCTTTATGCAATTTCTTTTTTTTTGGTTAAAAAAATTCTACAGCCAGGAAATTCCAACCATAGCTGACTGAGATAATTTGGCATAGATTCTAAGTACTGCCTCTGTACCACAAAGGACTCAGTCACCAAGAATGAAAGAGAAACATATGGGGCAACTCCATTACATGTGTCATTGCGTCAGGATGATTGATACTCAAGTGAAGGCAGTTTATGCACAGATGCATTGACTTTTTGACATTATCCTAGAAATCTGTAAAATGTTAAACTTTGGKGTTATAAATCCAGCATAATGTCTATTTCTACCTTTTTTCTTCAGATAACAGTTCCTAACTTATTTTCTGGTTTTGAAGAATACATCCATACCCAGGTCCTCTTGCTTAGTCCTTATTAATTGCACATTATTGCTTCCCTTCAGTCCATCATAGCAATGTGACTTTACAACTCTACTTGTATCGTAAGTCACTCTATTAAACCACTTGAGCAATTCGTTTGCTAGCATCCRTGTTCTCTACCTACACTGTCACTATCAGGAGTTGTAAAGTATCCAGGAGTATTTATTAGCTTTAAGCTACTACAAGTAGGATGGATGGCACAGGATGAAAAATAGGAGAGTTCACTCAAATATGAGATAGTGTCCAGCTCTTGCCTTTAATGTTTGTATATCTGTCCCTGTCAAAACCTGAAGAACTATTCACTGAACTCTGTAATGGAGCACAATGCTTTCTCTTTCTCCTTGGGACACCTATTGTCTGTTTTAGGGTGGAAAAAGAGGGGGTGAGTATTATTCTGCCTTTTAAGTTACTTATTCTCTTTTATGTTCTTTACACTCTATCTGCACTAATATCATTGTATTACCCCAATATTCCTTAACGTCTTTGACTGTGCTCCCTTTTTCTCTATTAATGTGGTTTGCAAAACCTTACTTATCTTTCAAGTCTCCATTTAACTGCTCCCGTYTGGTTTAACCTGACAGTTTCCAGAAAGGCTTACACATTTTTCTGGGTGCCAAATGCATGTTCAGTGTATTCCCATTATAAATGCTGTGTGCCTGTCTTTTCTTAGTTCTGTAAAAGGAGAAACTAGCCTTTGATCCTTTAACTCTTATATCTAATAAGGGTTTGATAAACATTTCTTGGATAAATGTATACATATTATATTTATTGTTTCATGTATAGTCAAAATATACAAAATAGTATAAAACCTATAATACTTCACTTATTGTTATGTACAGTAAATTTTAAAAATCACTTGTTCCTGTTTTTTCTTCTTTTCCTTGGTGCATTGTAATTATGCATAATAGTGGAATCCATTATGCCATGTACATAATTTAATCAATCTCATTCCCACTAGCTTGCCTTTCCCTCCCCTCCTYCTTCCTCTGATCCACTTGCTCTATTGATCTCTATTTTATTATTATTGATTAGTACATTATGTATGATATGCTATATATATTGCATTGTGGCATATTCATGCATGGACATACATAGCAGCATTTGGTAGATTTTGTTCCTCAGTACTTCCCTATGTTCCCCTCCCTCCCCATTTTTCTACTCTATTGGTCTCCTATTTTTGTGAGATTCTCTACTTTGCAATTGATTTTAGTTGTTTTCTCTCTCTCTAGTTTCCATATGAGAGAAAAATTTAGTGCTTACTTTTTGAGTCTGGCTTGTTTCACATAGTGTGTTTTCCAGTTCTATTCATAACTAGTAAGTAACATAATTACATTCTCCTTGGCTGAGTAAAACTCCATCATGACTACACACCACATTTCCTTTATCCAATTGTCTGTTGTCAGATACCTAGGCTGGTTCCATAACTTGCTCTTGTGAACTGTGCTGCTATAAACATTGGTATGCATTTGTACATATCACTATAGTATGATGATGATTTTAGTTGTTTTGGATAAATACCTAGCAGTAAGATAGCTGAGTCATATGGTAGTGCCTTTCCTAGGGTTTTGAGGAATCCCCATACTGCTTTTTGAAGTGGTTGTACCAATTTACAATTCCTCTAACAATGTATGAGTGTATTTTTCCCCACATCCTCATCAGTAGTTATTGTTATTAGTATTCTTAATGATTGTCATTCTAACTGGAGTAAGATGAAACCTCAGTATAGTTTTGATTGTATTTCCTTGATTGGTAAGGGAATATTTATTGGCCATTTTTATTTCTTCTTTGTACCAATGTCTGTTTAAATCATTTGCCTATTTATTGATTAGGTTATTTGGTTTTCTTGGTTTCTTTTTAAGTTCTTTATATATTCTATGTTACTCCCCCATCAGAAGAATAGTTGGTGAAGATTTTCACTCATTCTGTAGGCTTTCTCTTCATGCTCTTAATTGCTTCCTTTGCTCTGAAGAAGCTTTTTAATTTGATGCCATCCACTTATTGATTCTTAGTTTTATTTCTTGAGCTTGAAGTATGTTATTGAGAAAATTGGTACTTGTCCCAATGTACAAGTGTTGACACTGTATTTTCTTCTTGCAATTGTAGTGTTTCTGGTCCAATTCTTAGGTCTGTGACCCACGTTGATTTGATGTTTGTGTAGGGTGACAGATAGGGGTCTAGCTTTATTTTTTTTACATGTGGATATGCAGCTTCCCATCATCATTTGTTAAAAAGACTATTATTTCCTCCAATGTATGTCTTTGGTACCTTGGTCAAGATCAGATGACCATACCTATATGGATTTGTCTTTGTGACCTCTATTCTATTCATTGGTCTTCATGTCTTTTTTTATGCCATTACCATATTTTATTACTATAGTTCTAGGATAATTTGAGATCAGGTATTGTGATCCATCTATCATCATTCTTACTGCTCAGGATGACTTTGACAACTCTGAGTCTGTTATTCTTCCATATGAATTTTAAGACTTTTTTTCTAGCTCTTTGAAGAATGACATTATTAATTTGACGGGAGTTACACAGTCTGTAGATTTTTCTCTATTATAATGATTAACACATTACTTGTACAAATTGATGGGTTTTATGCTGATTTTACACACAAAGATATATCATGCCTTGTATTTTCCCTTCTACTTTTTCTCCCCCCTTTCCTCTCCAACCCCTTCTCTTTCTCTAATAGTTCCTTTTCTCCTCTTCTACATTTCTACTTCCAGTTTTTTGTTTGTTTGTTTCTATATATGAGAGAAAAATATGTGATGTCTTCCAGTTTCATGCATTTTCCTACAAATGACGTAATTTCAGTCTTCTTTATGGCTGAGTACTACTCCCTTTTGTACATATACCATGTTTTCATTATCCATTCATCTGTTGATGGGCACCTAAGCTGTTCCATTTCTTGGCTATTATAAACAGTGCCACAATAAAGACAGGTATCACTTATGTATGCTGATTTAATTTCCTTCAGATAAATACCCAAGAGTAGAATAGTTAGATAATATGGAAGTTCTATTGTAACTTTATGAGGAATCTCCAAACTTATTACCACAGTACTTGTGTTAATTTATGTTCCTATGAACAATGTATAAAGTTTCCTTTTTTAAAATCTCCTTGCCATAATTTGTTATTTATTTTTGAAACTAGCCATTCTCACTATGATAAGATGGAATCTTAATGTAATTTTGATTTATATTTCTTCAGTGGCTAAAGATATTGAGCATTTTTTCACACACTTATTGTTCATTTGTACTTCTTTTGAGAAGTGTCTGTTCAAATCACTCACCCTTTTGTTGCTAAACTTTTTTAAGTTCTTTATATATTCTGAATATTGATTTTTTTGTCAGATGAATATGTGGCAAAGATTTTCTCCTATTCTTAAAGTTACCTTTTTATTCTGCTGATGGTTTCTTTTACTGTGCAGAATTTGATGTGATCCTATTTGTCAATTCTTGTTTTCTGAGGTATTGGAGTCCGATTCAGGAAATGATTGCTTATGCAAATATTTTGAAGTATTTTCCCAATGTTATCTTCTAGTCRTTTCAAAGTGTCTGATGTTACATCAAGGTATTTGATCAATTTTGAGTTGACTTTTGTACCAAGTGATAAATGGAGGTAAGTTTCAGTCTCTACATGAGGATATCCAGTTTTCCCCAGTACTATTTGGGGAAGAGGCTGCCTTTTCTCCAAGGTGTGTTTTTGGCACCTTTGAAGAGAATCAATTGGCTGTTAAAGTGTAGGTTTATTTTCTGGGACTTCTATTCTAGTCCATTAGTCTAGTGTGTCTGTTTTTATGCCCAAACTGTGCTATTTTTGTTATTTATGGCTTTGTAATATATTTCAAAATCAGGTATTRTGATACCTCCATTATTACTCTTTTCTAAAGGTTGCTTTGGCTATTCTGGGTCCTTTGTGCTCCCATCTGAATTTAAGAATCATTTTTTTTTACTTCTACAAAAAAATATCATTGGTATTTTGATGGAAATTGCATTGAATGTGTAGATCACTTCCAGGGGTATAGCCATTTTAACAA